CCCAACCCTGTGACTTTAAATAACTACATTTATATCTCATTAACTTGTTTATTATTATTTAACCATGCTTACAGGACGATCATTAGTTAATAAGTGTCCTGTCACTTTAAAAATCATAAAGATTAACTCTGTTTCTTTGTGTTGTTTTTCCCACAAATGCTTTGCTCCTGTGTGTCAGACCTGCAGTGGGTGTCTAAGGTGAGGGTGAACACTCAGGCCGTCCTCAAGAGAGCTCAGCAGATACAGGGATTGAAGACACCGAAGAAACAGTGGCAGGTACTCACCTGTACTCACCTGTACTCACTTGTACTCTCCTGTACTCTCCGCTACTCTCCTGTACTCACCTGTACTCACCCGTACTCTCCTGTACTCTCCTGTACTCTCCTGTACTCTCCTGTACACACCTGTACTCACTGTACTCTCCTGTACTCACCTGTACTCTCCCTGTACTCTCCTGTACTCACCTGTACTCACCTGTACTCTCCTTTTACACTGTAGGTGGTGTGGCTCCTGAAGGATGAACATGGAGACACACTGACACTCTGCTAGTCTGTGTCATACTCTTTTTTGTGTTTCCTTCATGCAGGCAGCGTGGCTCCTGAAGGCGGTCACCTGTATCGACCTGACCACTCTGGCGGGAGATGACACTCCGTCCAACGTCCACCGTCTGTGTCTGAAGCTGTCCAGCCAATCAGATGTGACCTGCTGAAGAGCATGGACATGCACAACAAAGGTTCACTGCAGACCCACACATATAACAGACACGCACACAACGGACACACACACAACGGACACACACACAACGGACACACACACAACGGACACACACACAGCATGCAAATCAGAAGCCGGCCAGTCGTCAGGTTGGTCTGACGACATGGTAATGCCTGAGTTCATCCAGCAGGGGGTGACACTGTATCATTCTGTACTCTGCTGTATATGTCGTTTTCTAGAGACGATCACAGCAGCACTGTGTGTGTTATGTTGTGTAATGTTGTGTATGTTGTGTATCTCCAGGTGTAACCACAGCAGCAGTGTGTGTGTATCCTGCACGTGTTCCTGATGCTGTTAAATCTCTTAAAGCTGCAAACTCTAGCCTACCTGTGGCTTCAGGTGAGTCACATGACCCTAATACACCTCTCAGGTAAATTACATGACTTTAATACACCTCTCAGGTGAATCACATGACCCGAACAAACCTCTCAGGTGAGCCACATGACCCTAACACACCTCTCAGGTGAGCCACATGACCCTAACACACCTCTCAGGTAAATTACATGACCCTAATACACCTCTCAGGTGAGTCACGTGACCCTAACACACCTCTCAGGTAAATTACATGACCCTAATACACCTCTCAGGTGAGCCACATGACCCTAACACACCTCTCAGGTAAATTACATGACCCGAACAAACCTCTCAGGTAAATCACATGACCCTAATACACCTCTCAGGTAAATCACATGACCCTAACACACCTCTCAGGTAAATTACATGACCCGAACACACCTCAATCAAATGCCCCGAGCACATGTACAAACTCACTCCATCTTTACCTGAGTTTCTCCAGGCAGCCTGCTGGTAAACTTCCTGTGTGCACTCAGGTGAGCTGATGTGAGTTTCAGAGTGTGGAAAAACCTCTGGATTTACTTTTTAATTGCAGTGTGGAGCTCACCTGAGTCTGAGTCTCACCTGTCTGAACCCTCTATGGTCTGTTTAGTCTATCTATTTTACTCTCTCTCTCTCTCTCTTTCTTTCCCAGTGGCGACTGGTTTCCCAGCAGGTCAGACCCCGTTAGAGACCCGCCTTCAGGAAGTGCGCCTGGCGGTGTCTGATGGAGCGGCAGAGATCGACATCGTCATCAACCGAACACTCGCCATCACGGGACAATGGGAAGGTACGCTGAGGTGACATGACAAGGAGAAACAGGAAGTGTTTTCAGTCACTCTGAGTCTGAAGATAAACAACAACATGAGACTTAAATATACAAACATACAAATATGATGCTTATCAACACAGGTCAATAAACACTCAACACACACACCTGCTGAATGGAAGAATGAACACACATGGTGATGAGGTATTTACAGTGTGTTAAGTACCTCTCTCTCTCTCTCTCTCTCGCTCTCTCGGCAGCTCTGTACGATGAGATCTGTCAGTTTCGTCAGGCCTGTGGAGACGCTCACATGAAGACCATCCTCGCCATCGGAGAGCTTGGTACCTTCACCAACGTCTACAAAAGCCTGGTGGCCATGATGGCGGGTACTGTGAACTACCTGTTCTCTTCAGCATGATGGCTGATCTGAGTCTGATTGGAGCACCAGCTGTTCACATGTTCAAACATTAACGCTAAGCAGCCACAAGCTACGGTGTGAACCTGACCTGTAGGGGGCAGTGTAGAGTTAGAGGGGATGTGACAGATTGAACAGAGCAGCAGGAACTACACTGACAGAAAGTTCTAAAGACAAGCTGATAGAACAAGTCTGTAATGATATTAGAGTTTACATCACAGTGGCCTCCTCCAGTGTCTCCATGTTTGTAGTTTATGTCCTACACATCAGGTAGCTATATACAGCCTGAGCTCTGCTGCCCTCTAGAGTGTCCTCCTGTAAGAAAACAATAAATCTGGTTTATATATAAAGGTGCCCATTTATAGAACAAAAATATTCCCTGCCAGTCATCAGACCCTTTGTTTTTATCAGAACAGAAGGTCATCAACTAATCATCACCACAGACGACTTTAAAACGTTATCGTTACAAAACACATTTCGGTCCCTAGAGTTCATTGATCAGTCACGACCAAACGATCTGATTATTCACATTCACTGAACAAACTTCTTCTTCTTCTTGCAAACTTTGAAAATGAGTCAAAGTTTGTATTTAAACACAGTTACATGCTCGCTGTAATTCCTGCTGTCATCTGTTGGTGGTGCTGCTGCTCAACTTTTCTTGCTCTCTCTCTCTCTCTCTCACACACACACACACACACACACACACACACTCACACTCACACTCACACTCACACTCACAGAGCAGCTTATAAAGGCCAGAGATGATTATTAAAATGTCTTGGTGTCCACGCTGCTGCTCAATCTTAGAGATCGAGAAAAGTAACTTCTTATATTAACACACAAACACACAAACACACTTGCACACAGACAGACACAAACACACATGCACACAGACACACACACACACACACACACACAGACACACACACACACACACACACACACACACACACACACACACACACACACACACACACACTGACCTGTAACAGGCAGTGAATTCATTGGTGCAGCTCGTTAATAATTTGATCCATTAAGTGTAATTAAGCCTGAGCTGCAGAAACACTCTGAACTCGTCTTTAATGGACTGAAAACGTTCGTCTCACTCTGCAGTAATGAAGCGTCATTTCACCACAGAGCAGGGAATTGTGGGTAATCTATTAACCAGCCTCACTTCATCTTCTATTTTTATCAGAAAGCCGATAACACACGACGGACACAGAGCGAAGAACGGAGATTATTGATGACGCAGCAGCAAGTTAACCATTAACAGTTAGCAGATGTTCAGTCACAGCAGGGGTCAGCTCCTCCTCTGTTTACCTGTACAGGTTATTAAAGGTTAATAATGTAGAGTACTATAAACACATCCTGACAGTGATTATAGTTATAACATTATTGCTCTGCCTCCCCTTCAGAGGACTGGTTGGTTGGGTTCAGGAGTTCCTAAAATGATTCCTTCCCCCTGCTGACCCGGACTGATATCCCCAGTCCGGGTCAGCAAGTTCTCCACCCCTGCTGTTAACAGCCTGGGACAAGCCCCACTTTCCCTTTTATCCCTGGGGAGGTTGGGGACATGGAGTCCAAATGGTCCATTTTCAAAGCCTCCATTGTGGAAGTGTCTGCTAGGAGTTGCAACCAGAAAACAATCGATGCCACGTCATGGCGGCAACCTTGACGGAAGCTGTCAGGCTGAAGAAGGAGTCCTTTGAGGTTTGGTGAGCCCAGGGGTCTCTGGAAGCAGCGGACATGTTTCTGCTGACTCGGAGGGCTGTGGTTACAGAACCAAAAACCTGGGTGTGGGAGGAGTTCTAGCAGACTATGGAGAAGGACTTTTGGTTGGCATCGAGGAAACTCTGGCAAACTATCCGACGGCTCAGAAAGACAAATTCCACCAGAGGTGGGAGTTCATTACCTCACGGACTGGAGGCCGCTGCGAGACGTTCCCAGTCCACCCAGGCTTCTGCTGCTTCAAAGGGCTTTTTTAATCCGCTTTTAGTCTGGTCCCATCCCCAATTTGGGACAAGTTTGCCTTGGGAGACCCGGCCAGGGAAGATCTGTCCTGATAGCTTTTATAACATTATCATTTATATTATTCATGATTTATGAATGTGCGTGTGTGCGTGTGCGTGTGTGCGTGTGTGTGACTCGACAGGTTCAGACTTCATTAAGACGTCAACAGGTAAAGAAACTGTCAACGCTACCTACCCTGTTGCCATAGTGATGGTGAGAGCCATCAGGGACTACTACCTGTCTACAGGACACAAGGTACAGTGACCACACCTGTACCAGGTGATCTATAATCATGAATCAGTGTAACCGCTTATTTGACTACACATCACATCTGACGTTATCGAAACAGAACATATAGATATTCTATACTGTGTGTGTAGGTGGGCTTTAAACCTGCGGGGGGGATCAGGACGGCTCAGGAGTCTCTGCTGTGGCTCGCGCTCATAAAGGAAGAGCTGGGAGACGACTGGCTCCACCCACACCTGTTCCGCCTCGGAGCAAGCAGCCTATTGGCCGACATCGAGAGACAGGTGAGGAAGAGATACAATACAAACGTATATTACACACACACACACACACACACACACACACACACACACACACACACACACACACACACACACACACACACACACACACACACACACACACACACACACACTTTACCTCTTCTGTTTGTTCTTTCTCTTTTTTTAGATCTACCATCATGTGACTGGACAGTACGCAGCCTATCACGAGCTGCCGATGGCCTGATCATGTGACGTCCTGTTTAATGACCTCAAACTAAACACACACACACACTCACACACACACACGTTGATCCAGTGTTTCTGTTGAACACACTCACAGCAGAATGATTTCAGGCTCTGAAAGTTTTCATTGTGATTCAGTTTGAAAACAAAATAAAGATTATAATAAAAGATGGCGTCTGATGTTTTCACACCGACTTCAAGTTAGAAAAGACGAGAGAAGGACCGCACAGGACTCTGGGTAAACTGGTTATACTGGATGATGCTGGTTAAACTGGTTATACTGGTGGACGCTGATCAAACTGGTTTTACTAGTTATACTGGTGGGAGCTGCATTCCTGCAGATGTTCTCCTCGTGTCTCTCGGGCGCTCTGGAGGATTCTTTCATCAGACTCTCTGCAGATTTATCACGGTACGTTTAAGCTCACTTCATGGGAAGACTGAAAACTTTGTTCTCTGATTAACACGTCTCAGCCTGACCTTGAACGCAGCACACACCTCAGGGGAGGGGTTGCTTAAGGGTAAATGTGGGATTAAATGTTAAACCCTGGAAGGGGGGTGGGGGAGGACGGGTGGGGGGGGGGGGGGGGGGTGTGTGCACATGAAGAAGAGCTGAGATCAGATCTCTCTCTTACGTGTCTCATTAAATAACCCTACATTCATTTAAATCAAGATAATGAGGATCATTTCTTTAGAGTTCACCTTTTTTATTAATCCACATTTTTACATTTCCAATGTTTTCTCACACGACATGTTTGATTCTTTGATTTCATAATTTTATTCACGATTTTAAAAACCTGAATCATAAATCATCTCTGAGAGGACAGACAGACAGACGGAAACTGTATATAATGTAAAGTTCTGTTTTAAAGATCAGCTGTTAAATTATTAGAGTTTACTGATGATTTTAAATACTTTATTATTTTAAACGTCATGTGTATGTATATATATTTATGTGTAAGTAAACTTCATATAAATATTTAAAGAGAAATTTGTGGAATATTTCAACATTCTCTTCGTTAATAAAGTGAATCATTCATTTGTAATGACATCATTGTGGTGACATCATGACGAGTTTAACGTCTTAAGTTTCAAACGGCAGCGGGAACAGGAAGTGGGCGGGGCAGTCAGGTTCGTTCCCCTGATGCCGCTCAGCCTCTTTTTCCCCATGATGCACCCTGCCTACGAGGCTGACCTTGGACTGAGGCTCCCCGGTGGAGAGAACAGAGAGAATACATGTTTAAAGATCAAACAGGTTCACACTCACCTGTCTACACACACACACAATGATATGAGTGTATAGAGGTGTGTGTGTCTGTGTGTCTGTTTGGGGGGGGGGGGGGGGTCTCTGGGGACTCCTTTGAAGTGAGCACTGACATTGGAGGAGGGCAAGGCAGGGGGGAGGGGCTTCAAGATGCTGTAAAGTTAGTGAGAACAAACTGAGTGTGTGTGTGTGCGCTGATCATTAAGGGCGCACTCACACTACAAGGCAATCTGTACCATGCCTAAGCACGCCTCACCCCTAAAGTCCAGTTCGTGTGACCAGTGTGATCTCTCTGATCCGTGCTCAGTCTTCCTCGGTCCTGAATCACGGTACAGTTCATACACGAGCCCAAGCACGGGTACACAACGTGGACCGCCTTCATTCAGGAGAAACCCTGCACTGTTCTGTCTGCATCTGACTTAACATGACTCACAGTAAGACACGCAGTCAGTAAAGTAGCTGTCATGTTCTCTTTGTTGTTGTCTGATGTCCGGACGCTCAGGGTGCAGGCCAGCGGGGGGAGGGGGAGGGGAGGGGAGGGGGAGGGGAGGAGGGGGGACAATCGAGCACGGTACGGAGCAACTGTCTGACCATCTGAGTAACATGGTGCGTTCCAGTTGATCTCGTAAGTGGGAAATTCCCAGTTCCCAGTCGGAAGTGTCAACTGGAACGCCCCCTGAAGTCGTAATTACAACTCGGAAACTCTGAAAAAAAAAAAAAAGTAGCCCGAGTTCCGATCCAATATGGCTGCTACGTGCATCGAAAGGGATGTTTCAGATGTAACTGTTGAGTTTATTCGCAGCTTAGGCGTCTTTTTGTGTAATTAAATCAATCACACACCGATGGTGCAACTTCTCTCTGTGGAGGTGTTGGCATGAAACTGTCACGTTGTGTGTTGTTATCGTCTGGTATTAGCTAACAAAACAAAGGTACTCCTGGAGGCGGCCATGTTGCTTTTCCCGACTTGCAACTGGAACGCAGTTATCTCGGGTGTGACGTCATTCCCAGTTCCGACTTCCGAGTGCTGAGGTAAATGGAACGCAGCAATAGACCTTCTTCATGGTTTAAGATCTTTGAGGATCCATCGAGGGGACAAGTAGCTGTAACCTACACACACACACACACACACACACACACACACACACACACACACACACACACACACACACACACACACAACTCCTCCTCCTCTTCGCTGTTCTCCTGAAAATGGGAATAACTTCAAAAGACAACAGAAGTAAAGTGTGTGTGTGTGTGTGTGTGTGTCCCTGTGGGCGAGCTCTAATTCTGTCACACTCTGTTGTTGGTGTGTGAGCGATGATGTGATGTTAGAGGGTCTCGTATCGTCACGTTCATGTTTTAAAGACAAAGAACTACTGCTGTTTATGAGAGAAACACACACACCCACCTCTGACCTCTGACCTGTAAGTCAAAAATTGTGAACGTGTAGAAGAAGAAACAAGACGAAGGCATGAAGAGAGAAGCAGACGCGAGTCAGAGGCAAATTCTCATCATTCAACAGCTGGCTACTTGTTACTTGTTTCTTTGTTTAGTGACGTCGTAGATCAACAGGAAGAAGGGCCAATAGTGACCAGCTGAACGAGGAGTCAAACATACAGAACAGAAGAAGTATTCAGCTGCTCTTCACTGAGTTCTGAAGACATTCGAGTGACGTATGTTCCTGACCTGCAGGAAGCTCTCCTCTCACCTGTAACCTCTGCTAGAGGTTTCTGTATGTGTAAGCTCTCTTAAACAGACGTTCAGCTCCTGCAGATTTCACCTCTGTTTTAGAATCCTGAAGGAGAAACTCTGTCTCACACTCGGCGCTCACACTGGGAGGATTTATGAATCAGCCTTTTATAGAAGGAAAAGTTTCTCAGACTTCTCCCCCCCCCAGTCCCCTGACACTTGAATAATGTGGGCAGAGATTTCACACTGAAGACGTTCCTTAATTTCATCAGCTCCTCTGACTGACGTGCATCGTTATGGATAAAATTATCTGGCTAATTATCCCGCTCACTGGAGATTTATGTCCTCAGTGAGGCTGAGAGGAGAGCGTGGAGCCGTCTGCAGCGTGCACACAGAGAAGCACTCTGTTAAAAACAGCCATAATGAGACTCTGATACCCCCCCCCTTCCCCGATATCCCAGAGTGCTTTGCTTTAGTTCAGTGAAGTGCGGGGGAACGAACACACCCTGACCGCTCAGACAGACAGCAGGACGCCTGCAGGTTTCACATGTTCCCCGTTAAAATGCCTCTCATCACATTCGAGGGTTAAGATGTTGCCTCTTGTGTTTCTCTGATCTTTTGCAGGACGATCAGTTTATTTAACTTTATTTTCTAATGCACGTCTTGTTGCCACGCCCCTTATTCTACGTCATATCTTTTTTCAACGCGTGATTTCTAATTCAGCCTGTTCAGAAGAGTCGTCACCACACCATCATTTTAAACTTAGATATGATTCTAGTAAAAGTTAAACAATACTGATACCTGTTTGTAACCATGGCAACAAAGCTTGAACATTAGAGAACATTAGAGGAACTGTAGCTGTAAAGTTAGACATTTTAACGTGGGGCTCTATGGGGGCTGACTCACCGCAGGAGACAGACCCTAGTGGACACTGGAGGAACTGCAGCTGTAATGTTAGACATTTTAACGTGGGGCTCTATGGGGGCTGACTCACTGCAGGAGACAGACCCTAGTGGACACTGGAGGAACTGCAGATTTTGGGACTTCGATGTTGGCTTCCTTCCTCAGACTCAGAGGTTTGTTGTTTGGTTTAAACCTTCAGATCCAGGTTGTATTGATTGATATTTGATACCCTGGTATGAACTCGTCTGAAGCTCAAAACAGGGCAGACAGGGAACGAGAGGAAAACTTCCTCTGTTAGCATGTCTTCTGTTGTTAGCATCATGCTATCACATATATTGGATGATTGAAAACAGCCTGAGGACAAACAGTAAAATGATGAGCACAGAGTTAGAGTTTGAGCCCCCCCCCTCCCTGACTGAGTGTACCTGCACAGGGCTGACTGGGAGGAGAAATAATGAGCATGGTGTCTTCATCAGGTGATTGGTGCGTGTGTTCAAAGCGCCTCACGCTGAGACGACTCGGCTCTTTGTTCGCCTCAGACTGTGTAAAGCTCCTGGCTCTCCAAACACCTCCACCTGACACTCGTCTGATTAAAGAGACACGACAGAAATGTTTGAGACCAAAGTGATCGTGATGCACACAGCTGAAGTCTGGGCACAGTCTGCAGACGCCACGTTCACGCCGCGTTCACTCCACTTTGATGGAACAATGAAGACGAGGATGAGAGGAGACGTACGAAGACGAGGAGGAATCACACAGAGGGCTTCTGTTTCTGGGGAGAGGAAAAGATTTCTTCATATCTTTATAAGTTTTCTTGGTTATAGGGTTCTGAGCTGTGTTTTATTCCATCATAGTTTAATGTCGAGTCACAAACGTTAGAATGAAACTGTTCTAAAGTTTGATATTTAGTGCTGATGACTTCTCCGGTTTATCATGCAAAACAGTCTCAAGGAAAGTCGGACTGCCCATCACGTGTTAGACAGAACAACAAGGAGAGGACCCAAACACAGACACTGAACAAAGATGGAGGTTCTCTGTGCTGCAGGTGTGGGATCAGTGGGGTACAGGTCCTGGTACAGGTAAACATTAAAGGTACACTGACTCGCTGTGGGGGGAGGGAGACGGCCCCGCCCACTCAGGGCGTTGTTCCTAGAGGTTATAATCATGTGGTGTCGTCACAACAGAACAACAGAAGGAGAACCAAAGAAAACACAACAGTTTGGTTTAAAATCCTTGAAATGAAAAAGAAGGGAATGATCTTTGGGCTGATCGTCTGACTGAGTTCGTTATCTGTTAGCTTGTTCATCAACTTTCA